TATACATTATTTCATTCTTATGTGCAGCGCTTTTAGCTAATCAAACAAACAATTGCAATAAGCAATGTGCAGCGACGCCATTTTGTGCACCAAAGCATGATGGTAGTTGTACCTCGTACTTATCATACACCCTAAAATATCTCCCTAAAAGCCGTTTCTACATTTTTCTCTGTAGAAATGGTACAACTACTTCTATTGTTGCTAAGCATATCAAAGAACAGCCGACTTGCGAATTACGCATCAATAGTCACATACAAAGGAATCAAGACGAGGCGCCGTGCTTAAGACAGTAGATTTTTCACAAAAAAGCACGGCGCCTCGTCTTGATTCCTTTGTATGTGACTATTGATGCGTAATTCGCAAGTCGGCTATTGAATGTCATTCGTGCGGGAACCCTGTGCATTTTAGTTTTGGGCTTCCTTTAGCGAATCCATGCCATATATGGAAACAAACAAAATGTCCGATTGTTGAGATGAGTTTTCGCTACAATATCTGCAAGTTTCAGATAATTTCTTGCTTTATAAGTCGAGAAAATCGCCAAAAACCAGTCCAAACGTACTTCCAAATATGATAAGATTACCATATATGGCTACTTTTATAGTGGACATTGTAAAGTACGAGGACTATAACAACCGTCATRCTTTGTTGCACAAGATGGCGTCGCTACACATTGATTAATTTATGGATAACTTAAAATATTTTGGCGGGAAACCACTTGACTTTTTGTGCGTTTAGGCTCGTTTACACGAAACCACCGAAAACGATGAMMATATTCGRAYATTTTTGCAAAGAAAACGCATTTAAGAATACTGTGAAAACCCGACTTACGTCCACCCGCACAATAAGACCAATCCTAGACWATYKCCAGAATAAATACTCCTCTGTGCTTTTCTCAGTACATAGATCAATACATTTCGTTTTCTTGGCAATAAAACCATGATAAAAACACCAGTAAAACAATTTGATAGAACAGACATCTGAGACTTTCACGTCACATACCGTATACGCATTGCATTCTCGGATACTATCTGGGACAAAACATGGCTGATTTCTCTTATTTTTAGAAATTGATCCCATAATGCATTGCAAATCACGTAGGTGACGTAMAAGCTTTACAATCTCTATTGTGATCATAAGATTTTGGCTCAGCATTCAGAACAATGAAATCACAATAATTCACTRTCACCGACAACTCTATCATAATAGACTAATAATCTAAAAAGAGTAAAACTGCAATGAGGCGGAATCCTCAACTTTTCGTAAACACCATTGCTTCCATTGCTATTGCCTGGTTGTTGCGAAATGGCTGACACTTGTCAAGAACCATTTGTGAATATTCTTTGATACGAAGTGGAACATGGGGATGACTTACTAAGCCTTCAAGTAAAGGAACGCCGTTTTCTGCAATGACTAGTGCACAGTACTTTTCGGCTGGAAAGAAAAGAAAAAMCATGGGCAGATGTCAGAATGTTTCGAGGCAGAATATCGAGATATAAAAAACAACTTTTCAAATCGGATAACCAAGAGTTAACACCACCGCACCTGGTTAGCTTCGAGTCCAGTCAAGAACGGAGGAGCTAGATTGAGCGTCCCACTTCTCGAATTTAAAAACTTCTCAACTAATGTCAAGTTATTGCTATACGATATAATGATAGATTAGTTGACTTAGCAACTACAAAATGTGTTCTAAGGCACAACATAGGAATTCCGGTCTCACTTTTCAAGATGGCGGACGCATTGTTCTCCGAAAGTACTGATGCATGCATTGCGWTTGATTTTTTGTCGCTCAAGGACCCAAATTATAACAAATAAGTCACTAGTTTCGACACAAAAGAAAAACAAAGAAAACAACAACTGAGGATCGAAACGAGCCTCCTTCCCAGTCTCCCCAAGCGGAAACGGACTTTTTGGTATTCCTGTGTTAATAATCTTGATCAAGAAGAGAGTTTCCATTTTTCCGAAACCCCTCCCACTCCCCACGGATACGTCTTGCCTGTGAAGGMGTCCAGATCAAAACCTATCACTGTATTCATCAATACAGTACAATTTATCAATCTTAAGCCCAAAGTCTTCCCGTCTAAATGTMAGCGGTCTCTATTTAAACAATAAATTCAGCTCAATAGCAAAAGTGCGGGCTCTGGRTACGAGATTGTGTATTGGTTAGCACCTTCCGTAAAATGGCTCTTGAAGATAACACGCAACTTATATCAATAACGCTTATCAACCGRATATCACAATAGAGAGTTTTAGCATCACGTTAACGACAAACGGCTAACGGCAGAGCTAAACCAATGACCTAAGAATTTCGTGCCCGACCTTGTGCTTTTGGTAGTCATTTGAAAGAGCGGCTTTTCACGATTATGGCAACCTCAAATAACCCGCTCTCGCGTTGAAACTGCAACGCCAAACTAAAAAAAGCAGGTCACGTGATCTTTTCTGCCGTTTGGCGTTTGCCGTGAACGTCATGCTAAACCTCTCTAATACTTACGATCTACGTTGCAGAGATTGGCCAATGCCCACGTTCCCCAGTGCTGGATTGCTGGGGTGTCATATTTATGAAGCAGCCGCAGAATAGGAGCAAATGATCTGTGAAAAAAAAGGATTTCACTTGGTCATCCATGGATGTCGAACATACTTATATATAAGATTTTTGAAATAATACGCGCGCTCATTAGCAATACTCCAGTTTCGAATTCATAGCGAATAACCGCTGCTTTATTTGACAACAGATTCTCTTGCGCAAAGACCTTACATACACAAAAGAGAGCACGAGAAAATGTCGTTATTACAATAGCCTAGAAAATTTGCATTTTCCCCGAGTTGAGATTATCCTTGTMTTCCCATAAGACCTAAGGTATGAGCAGGGTTAGCGTCAACTCGGAGAAAATGTAGATTCTTAGCGCTCTATTGTATTAACAACATTTTCTCGTGCTTTCTTTTGTCTTTGGTAAGTTCTTTGCGTGATAGAATCTGCTGTCAAGTAAAACAGCGGTTATTCGCTTTGAATTCGAAACTGGAGTATTTCGAAAGGGACTAGTGACTATTGTAGTCACAAACTCGAAACAGCTTGAAGTAATCAAATAAACAGACACCAGGACAAGAAAGAGCATACTAAAATTAGTATAGTTGATAGTTGCTGAGTTTGATCATATTCGGATTAATATTTACAGAGTTGCAAGCGTTTAAAACTCGAAAAAATTACAAAGAATGTATGGAGCTCTTGAGCAGCGTCCCGAAAAACCATACATTCTCTCTTATATTCATAAATTTGAAAAAAATTCCTACTCGGTGAGCATTCAAGTAAATAGTCTCAAACTCAAGAACACTAATTGTAGTGTCGTCTTTCATGTTATGAGGTTCAGTTTTCGATGAATGGACCAATTCACTCGTTCCCAGTCTCCTTYTGAATTTCTGAAAGGCCAATACTCTAGTTTCGAGATCTTATTTGTGCAGCCTTAACCTCGAAAATATGTAAAATATTCTTTTATTCAGCAGAGAATCTAATGTAATGCAAACACTCTGTCTTCAAAGAAGATAATAAAAAATGATATCTGATTGAAGCTAAGCTTGCACAAAAGAGACTTCGAAACTGGACGTCTGTGTTTATATCAGGAGTTCATATGATATGGTTTTATTTGCCGCTCGCACCCTCGAAAAAAGCCGAAAAAAATCTTGTAAAAGAAACTATAAATAGAAAATAAAAGAAGAGAGAAAAAATGGAAAAAAACTGGGACCTGAAGAGGAGGAGAAAAAGAAGAACAAGAGGAAGAAGCATTGTTGCCATTGTGTAGCAATTTTAATACAAAAACAACTACATCTACTTGCGAAAACGTTGTCATAGAAAATAGTACATTGGTACTTAGTAAAAAGGAATAAATTAAAAAAGACAAAGGAAGATCACTGAGGCTGAACGCTCTCTTTTGTCTTGTTTTAATTAATTCCTTTTTACTAAATTCAAATGTTCTATTTTCTATGACAAAGTTTCTGCACGTAGGTGTAATTATTCACAGATCGCAATATTTTTACCTGTAGCTCATTTGACGACTGGCACCAATATCCCATTCTTCAATACAATTAACCTGCAATACAAACCAAACATTAGACACATTCGATAGTTAYGGTTTACCGCCGTCATTGTTTTCTTACTAGTTTTTCCATGGCTATTTCTCTTGATACTTGATAACATGTCCACTCTTTAGGCCCATCAAAAGCCAAATGACAGAGGATACCAGCAGCATTGTAGCTGACCTCTAGTTCATTGCTGTTGTCTAGTAGATTACTAAGAGAAAGATACAAAGAAAACAGTTTAAGGAACATGGTCTACCAGCATTCAATGCAGTAGTGTTTTAGATTTTTCATATATGGAAAATGAGGTGACTTCGAATATCCATTCGCAATCCGTTTCCATCCATCCKTTTTTTAAAAGGTCGAATCTCACAGTATCTCCATTCATATAGTAYAAAGGGATAATAAAGAGTAAGTTTTTGCTTGTATTRCGATGTATTTTTATTTTCAAACATGAGCAAAAGCCCGAAAGGGATGCTGGTGGACTATGTTCCTTTAAAATGATAGCATAGATGTAGACGCCAATAGTTTCCTTCATAGTTCCCTGCGAATAACCGTTCTCTTTGCATCGAACAGAGACGACTGTTGGGCGTRCAATGACTGAATTTTTTTTCACACAGGTATCAATCATTGCACGCCTCAACAGTCGTTTTAGACTGTCACTAAGTCACTTTTTTTCTCGCGCTTCGCGCTAGGAGTTCTATTCTATCATATTCTGAGTCCAAAGAGAGTTCTAACTGTAGCAAGTCTACAGTCGTTTCGCTTCGATGCAAAGGAATTGCTACCTTTCAAGATGGCGCAGTGAACCAGTGAAGAGASTATTGAAAAATCCAAAACACACCAAGAAGAGTACATTGTGTCACATCAATTGCCGYAGTTCATTATGACGTCACATCAAAACATTCTATTGTTTTAACGCTAAGGATTATAGTCTCCAGAAGGTATCAGAGTGACTGCATTTCAAATAAAATGTACATGAACAATCATTTATACATGATATGTATCAAAACACGATTCATTGAAGCTCTACTTTAGGAGACAATATAAATGGGTCCAAATTTCCGCTGTTTTTGAGCATCGTTTTCCGATGTAAACATACTGTGACGTCATAATGAAATAGGTCAATTKACAAACAACTCAGAAAGTATTAACCGTGCGTGTGCGTTTTCTTTCCCTTCCCCAGTCCCCTGATGTCCCTTWTTYTCGCAGGGAACCCGAWACATACAAAAACTGGAGAAGCGAGATGTCTGGGGATGAAGCGTTGATTGGTTTACACGTGAGCAACTATAGACCGAAAATGATTAGGTGTAAAAACCTTTCAACGATAGACGCCATTTTTGTAAAAACAAGACTTGGAGGATGTAGTCCTCATGTTTTTATTTTGAAAATCTGTTTTCGGTTCTGTTCGGAATCTSTACAAAAACGTGACCTTTATGCATCATATAACTGAAAACACTGGTCTTCAAGTCCTGGAAAATGCCGGGAAATTATCATTTCATCAACGTTAAAACTCCCGGCTAAACACATCATTTCCTTTGGTTTAGAAGTTAAATCTGCCGCCTCGCCGTGGATTGATCCATTAAAACAGTATTATACATTTACGGCTTTATAATGTATTACTTTCCCGTCCCTCCAAAATCTTTAGATGACCACATCTCCCATCRTGCCTTGCTGTAAGGCAATACCTATTTGACATTTGTCACTATAGGATACGTCCTCGACGGTGCAACGAATGCCGACAACACTAAATATATTGCAGAAACGGAAAAATCAAACTTCTAAATTTTGATTTGTTGTTACCTACAAATATATATTAGATAACTTTTGCTTAATCATTTTTAGCCTGTAAATTGTCAGTAAAACTTACTAGAACACATCAGCGCAATTCATGAGATGTGGACGCAGGGGTCTAACTTCAGAAACATTTCCCTGAAAAAAACAACAAAGACTTTTTAGTAACACTGTACATGTATGTTGTCAGAAAATTGAGTTTTTTTTTAAGAATAACAAAACATACCATTAATCCGAGCATATTTCTTAGCAGGTCTCGTTGATGACCAAGTTTCTGAGAATGTGAAAAGAAGTCATTAATAAAAATTATTTTGAAAATACTGTAAAAATCATTTAATTCGTAGCCTGCATGGTGGCTTAATTTTTTTGAGGAGAGGGGTGGGGGTGTGGGGACTTATCCCCCTCCCCTACAGGTGTCATGCAGAGTATTATGTCAATGAAGACGTACTGCTTTGCACTCCAGAAACAACTCCATTCCACCATTGTCGATAAATAATTCACAGTTTGCTGGAGTCTCATCTGTGAATGAAGAACAATGAACAACACTTAAGCATAAATGTATGGGGATGCTCGAAGCTCCGAAGAACAACGCTGGTAATTGGTCGGYTGAGCTCAGAGTGAAACAAAAGCACGAAGCATAAACAATAGAGCCTGTTGTTCTTACTAGCCAATCAAAATGAATTTTATTAAGACACATAGAACACATAGAGCGGATTTCGTATGAGTGGGACGACCTGTACTGTGACCGTAATCGTACTGTAACCAAATTCTAGTGCCCCATTGGTTCACCAAAATTGTGAAGGCCAGGTCCGGTAACTGTGCGGTAACCGTGCGGTAACGGTGTCCCATGCACTCATACGAAATCCGCTCTATAGTGACAGACTAGAATGTAACCCGCGAGGCCCGAGATCGTGACGTAATACCACAGGTAATCCATTATCAAAGCGAACGCCCTAATGCAAATCAGGAAGCGTACACTAGCGATTTTTTTCGTCTATTTTCGTCGATTTCTAGCAATTATTATTATAATAAATATATATTTTGCAATAACATTAACACAATAAAAGAACAGAAAATGATTGTATAAATCAAGCATGTAAGGGCTGGGCTACCTATGATTTCGGGAGAAAATCATCAAGAGCTAAGATAGACAGATAGTTCTATGTGTTTTAATGGGATTAAAAAATATGATAAAATTTCCTTCGCCTTACCAGTTACATTCCATAGAGCACTCCAGCAGCACTCGAGAACGCCACCCTGATCCTACAATCGAAACAGGAGTGAATTAGGTTCCGCGAATTACAAGCAAAAAATATAGTGGCGAMTTTGAAACACAACTTCGGCAAATACTTACAGGTCGATTTGAGTCTAACTTTTGCCTAAGAACCTGAAGAACCATCTGCAAGTAAAAAAGACGCAATCATTAAAAAAGAAGTTCTTTTAAAGGACTATGGTCAACTGGTATCCAATGCAGTCACGTTCTAGATTTTTTATGAAACATGGAAACTTCAAATGCTCACTGATCCGTTTCCATCCGTCGGTTTTAAGATCGAATCTTACACGGTATCTCCGTTCATATGGCATAAAAGATAACATTTGCTTCTATTACGATGTAGTTTTATTTTCAAACTTGATCAAAAGCCTTAAAGGGAATCTGATTGAAGATGGCGCTTCTAACATTTACATAAAGAATTGTTATCTTCTTCTTCTTCATGATCCCTTTTAGGAGGTTAATATGTTGTGCATTTACAGCTTAGATGACCCAACTCTTGGAGGAACTCAATATCATGTCCAAGAACGAATCCATTATTACAAGTCATCAATATTTCATTTACTGTATGTGTAGAAACATCACTTAGCAATGTGGGATGTGGTTCAGAGATTTTAATACTACGAGCATGCTCAGTATATAGATTCTGTCTTTTGTATTTATTTACTTCTTTAACACTATTTATTTAYTTCRCAATACWACAACCCTTCCCTGGGAAGCTTATATGTAGGGTGGTCAGACAAGTTTACAAGTGTTCTAGAAGGCTCCTAAAGGATTGAGCATTTTGAAGTTTCCATTTTCATAAAAAATCTAGAACGAAACAGCATTGAATACTGATGTATTACTAACCTTTACTCCTCCGAGGTCTCTACCAACAGTTACCTTCTGATCATCATGCACCTAAAACATAGTTTGCAAGTGATTTTATTTTTTTTATTGACAAATATTTTATGGATGTGATTTTTGCATATTACTCGAAATCGAACAGATGTTTTTTTTAAACTATTCAAAAACGTCGTGTAATAGTTTGAAGTTAATGATGATGTCTACCGCTTTTCTGGATCTCATCAATGTTTTGAGATATCTGGCAAAAAAAGGAATTTCGACCAACTGCGATTTCCGTTGTCTAGGTAACGYTAATGGAGCTAAATATTATGCCAAACAAAACTTTGAACAATGCTTTATTACTGGTCCAAACACCAAATAAATAGGTGGATGGCAAGATTTTCAAAAAGCGAATTTAAAAGGAGAGGTATGGTCAAAAAACAACTTTAAAAGGAGAGGTATGGTCGATAAGAAAACTATAGGAAGCCACCTTAAGAATCAGATATTTGCGAATGGGAAAACTGTCTTTTGAAAYAAGGATTCTTTGATATATTTAGTATTTTGGCCTCGCAAGACTTTGATATTAATTTCATCTTGATTTTCTCAAGTATTTTAAGGCTTGAGTTACTCGGTCTTGACGCACGATCAGCTTGTATTGTCTGTAAAACTAGTTTCGTTTTATTGTAAAACCTCCTCAGTTACAAGACTTTTCTAATATAAGGATTACAAACATTCTTTGTAATCCCGGGACAGGGAGCCCGCCACTAAGAACGGCTGCGAGGAGACTACATTCTTTGCTGATTGATTATGGATTAAATTACCTGGCAGACAAGCAGATTACACAAACCAATGGCAATCCTCTGAATGAAGTCGGTTCTATGATTGACAGCTGACTGTAAGAGAACTCTAGCAACTCTCTTGTAGGTGAATTCCTGCAATGAAATAATCCAACAAAGGTTGGTGAGTAAAAAAAATACTTCTCAATGACTAATTAAGGCTCCCGATATTTAAACCTGTTACGAAGATTACAAAACAAAAAAATTGAGCTTACCACTTCTGTAGGGATCCGGAAGTTGCATAGGGTGAGACAGCAATTCTTTTGGAGCTATAAATAAAATGCAATCATTACAGTTTTAATAACCTACAAGTTAAAAAGAATATTAAGGACTGCTAGATTGAATGGTGGGAACTAGCGGTAAACTAGTGTGAGCTGCGTCGGTGTTTCTAAAGAAACAGTTGTGTAAAAAGATAATTTGTTTTTGTTTATTTCTCGTTACCATGCCTACCTTRCTCCTATTGGTCTATTTTCTTTGCTACTCTTACTATATAAACTCATACTATACCTAATTCCATCTCTTTACTCCGACGAAGGATTAACGTCCGAAACATACTATTTTTTTTTTAATTTATCTTTTTACAAAACTTTTACATGAACTCCAGAACTCAGAGAATAAAAAGAGAGTTCGTGGTAACAGAAGGTTTCACTGTACCTGCTCTTCTGCTATATGGKTCTCCATTGCATCAAGAGTCACAGAAACAATTTCCCTACAAGAATAAAATTATCATGATATGAAATACATAGCCTGTGTAGTCAGGCATTCCTATAACTGCTCCAAGAAGCTTGTTGGGCTAGAGAAACTCTTCCTCGGAGCAGCTAGGAATGCCTTATTATGCAGGCTATCAAATCAAATACCTTATTCGTACTAATTTTCGCGAGGCTGTAATTTCGCGATTTTCGTTTTTTTTTTTAAATCGCGAAGTTTAAAC